TTCTGATCCACACAACTATAAAATTTTTGTGAACCACGTTTGTGGATCGGCCAGAACACTACCAGGACGGCTAAACCTTGCTGGGGAGACAATTACAGCGCTCATCGTAAGCCCTTAATAGAAACTTATCGGCTAGGTAGGTTTTCCGCAAGATGCATCTTTTTTCACATGAGTGATTGTCAACTCAACTCAACCGAAAGCTCAACAACCGGTTGTGAACTCTAGGAAGCTGACTTTGTGACATCTATACTATGTGAAACTCAAATGTGCCGAAGGTATGGTGTAGACTGTTACTTCGCCACAATTCGCGTGTTATCACCTGACGCTGTGTGCACAGTCGCTAACGAGTCACTGGCTTACATCAGTTACGCTTGTGCTCCCTTCACACTTTCTTACTGTCCCATATTACCGTGTGAAAACCACATATTCTCACTGACGCTCACTTTCGTTTGTGATTCCCTCATTACCTTATCATAGGAATATAAAGGTTTATATCCTAAGTTTGCTTTCGGTTGAGCTATTGTAGGCGCAAACTCACTAACCCTTGCTTCGCCTCGGTGGAGCATTGTACTTAAGCAAGTGAATGTTGACATAGGAGGGTTTTGGTCCCTGTTTGGCGACTCAACAAACAAATGGCATATGAACTGAACAACCAGTCACTGGCTCCCACTGGGCGCGACTCCCTGAATTCGCCCCGCCACCTTTCTAGCAAGCTTCATTTGAAAGTTCAGAACGGCATCCGCTAAGACAACTCCCTACTTCGACTGGAATAACCGGCTAGTATCCGCCCACTAGCAAAACCAAAATCGTTCATTTGCTGTACTACGCTCAACCACTTATGCTTTCACCACCCGGGCACCTTCACACGCCACGTCTTTATTTTTTTACTGATCACTGTTGTCCGTTACCAGTCGATTTTCATGATTCTGCTGTGGATAGTTTAGTCGACACCCACAGAGCTCGACCATGGGTCCTCCTACGGCGTCGGTCCGTCTGGCATGTTTCAGTGTGCTTACACTCGCGCAGATCGGGTAATAATCCGACTTGCGCGTACTTTGGGATCCTTTACTACCGATGTTTGCTATCTTCCCAAAAACCGATTGCAAGTTTCCTGTATTTTGACTAAGCTGGCATCACCACGGGTATATCTGCGTCTATCTGATGACAGCCGGCTCGTGGTCGAAAGAACAATGCATCTGTCTTGTTACGTGTAGGTGGCGGTTTCGAGTCCTCGTACGAGACTGAGGGACCCTCGCAGTATCTTTAGCCCACGCGCGACTGGTGGTAGTTGCGTGGCAACGAAGCGTCAGTACAGCGTACCGGCGTACTGTGGATGCCTATCTGGTGCCACGAAAGCAGCGGCGGTAGGTTTGTTTGTTATTTTTGTAGCATTAACCAGCAAAACCGCGGCGTTCACCATCATCATTGCATGCTAGTGGAGAGCGAGAAACACACCTCAGCTAATGTGCGGGAATACCAAAAGATGAGAGATTAAATATTACAGGGTACAGAAGCTATGAAAAAGTAACATAATCCTAAATATCACTTGCGTAGGGCTTGCGCTCATTGTTGGAGCTGAAGCTAAAGGAGATTAGAGGGGCAAAGAGACACGCTGAGATAGGCTCTTCGAATTGTCAGCTAATCTATCCAACCAACCGTGTTCATCTTCCTTCGGTCCCCAGACCGGCAGTCGAGAAACCCCAACTGACGTCAAGTTTGAAGTGAGGAACTTCATTCCTCTTGACCAAGTCGTTGTTTGACCTCCTCTTCTTCTATCCAGACCCTGGGTGCGCAAACAACGTGTGCCCTAGCCATCGGAGCGTGGTGCGTGATCTAGTGGTACTGAGCGGTTCATTCGCTTTTCCTGCACGAAATACACAGCGCTGAACACGCTCTTTGCTCACGCGGTGTTTCCACCAGCTGTGAGCTACGCGGCGAAGACAGATCTCTAACCTAACTAGTCTCTTTTATATCTATTGACTTGATGGACCATATTTCACTACCGTACAGGAAGGTTGGACGGACGGCTGCATTATAAACTCTGCCTTTCAGAGCGAGAGTAATGTCACACTGGCGCCACAGGTGGCGGAGATTGGCAAAAGTACCTAGAGCTTTTGCTATATGGTTCATGGTCTTGTCTTCGATCCCATGGGCGCTAATATAGCTGCTCAAATACTTGAATTTCTGCACGACCTCTATCTGATCACCATCAAGGGTCCCTGTCATGTCTAGACCTAAACCGCTTTACAATTAATTGCCGACTTTGTAGTGCGACTTCGAGGCTCATACATTATCAACGCACGTCTCGACGAAAGACGCAACTTGTTTTTCATCGCTTACGTTCCAACTGACTACAGTTGTGACTCGGGCAAGGATGACTTATCATGAGCTTCACTATCGCTTGAACATTGTTTGCAAATCCGATACAGTCGTCCTTGTTGGGATTTCAACGTACTCTTCGGTCGTCTGTTACCATGTGAACGTCACCTCGGCAGTCATCATGCGCTTATTGAGAGCCGCTCGGATAACGGTGACTTCTCACAACCTGTGAAGACGATCGTCTATTTCTCTCTAGCACTAGCTTCAGACTTTCGATAAGACGTTCTGTTGCATAGTGCCCCCTTCTGCGACTCAATCATGATCTCAGATTGACCATGCCGCAATTAGTTTCAGATAGCCGGGTGATGTAAATGATTACTGGTCAATCTGGTCTACGTTTCTTGAACCAGACCGTGTTTTTGTCGGTGCGAACATTGTATAAGCTTCAGAGGTTTCCCTAAGACGATACATTTATGCTGTCTGCCCCCCTTGGTTCTCTGGTAGATGTGCTCAGCTGCGATATACCGCAACGCATTGATCAGCGGTGGCCTTTCATACAGATGATAATGAATTACGAACAGTCAATCTGCTGTCTTACTGGCCACCCTGTGAAGGCATGGACGTCTACGCACTTCATGGATCTGTTTGACCGCCGCGGAAATATTCCAGCGGGGTCTGGTCATAATGAAGTGCCCCGTTGGGTCAGTCGGTAGCTAAAGTAAAGCTTACACAGTGGTCACAAAGCCTTGTAGTCTCAACGTGCTTTGGAAATGGAGGTTGCTGCCCTTTTTTCCGATGCTAGCAACTCTTCCAGATTATTCCGCCCACTGGCCACAGCAAGCCTGGTGCCAGTGATACTATTTGCGTAGCGGATGGTTCAACGGACCGAACATCTTTATTACCAGTTCGGTTGGTCCTCACCGTCCACTTGTAAGTCCTGCGAATCCCCGTACATGCCCGGGGCCGTCACAACTAATCCACCCAGCGAAGCGGAATTTTGCCTTTTGATTCGACGCCTCAAGCAATTTAAGGCTTCCTGCTCGGACGAACTTTTCCCGATGCTGTTCAGGTATAACGGCGCAATAATCACTGCCTGTCTAACCTCATCATTTTCCAAAATCGACATGAATAAAATGTCTTCACCTTGAAGTGAGTCACTTATTGTCCCCATTTTTGAGAAGGATGCCTTCACTTCATGCGCTAGTCGTCTCGCGGATTAGTCTTATTTCGCTCATCTCCAAGCCATTGGCATCCATTCTGCTGCATATACTACCAGGATTCGTGAATGACAGTACCGTGAAGGACAGGTCGGCTTTCGTACTAGCCGTAGGTGCGTGGATCAACTCTTAGCGCTCCACCAAATCCTCCAACCCCCCCGTCTCTACCAAAGGCTTACCATCGTTGTTTTCCTGGACATCATTGGTTCATTCGACTCGATGAGAAGCTCCATAGGCTACGCTAGTGCACGGTACACAACAGCGCACTGATGATGTTACCTGTATTGGTGACTAGGTGTTTGCAATAAAATTGCCAAGTTAGGCGAACAATACAACCGCCACTCGGAATGAAGGCCCTCATTTTCAACGTGGCGATGGGTTGCTTGCCTCTACGATCCATTGCGGTGTGTTGAATGATGCTTCTTGCACTTTCAGTCACTCATATTAGATCGGCTAATGCTTAAAGGCAGACACTCTCAGTCTCCAGGTTGTGGCTTGGGTGAAGATCTTTTCTTATTCCTTACCCGGACTCCCTGTGACTCACTGCCAAACTCCCATTGTTTTGCAGTCAGGCCTTAGAACCAAAAGCTTTGGCTGAGAACCTCATCGCTTTCCAGTCTAGGCTTGGGCAATGCAGTGCGATAGATTCTCGCGCAAAAATTTTCTTAAATGTTAACCGGGTTCCAACTTCATTTTTGTCCCACTGTTTTCAACCCCTCAACTCTTGGACTTTCACCACTTTGCTGTTTACTATCTCACTCACGTTGCACACGGATCTTAGTGGCGTAGTGATCAAGGCGTTAACCGTTAACCACTAGGTCCCGAGTTCCAACCTATCTCAGGCTATCTCTTATCTTCTGAGTTCATACCAGGATGAAACCGGTTCTGGGATGTTAGCGTTGTGAGGAGCAACACCGAAACAACTCTAGTCTCGCTTTTGTATTTATTATATCCCATCCTTTTGTATTGCAACACAATAGCTGAAGTGTTTCACATCTTCAACCAACGTGTAAACTAGAAAGTACAGTCGTCTGTTTTCATTATTTTGAATATATACGTAGGTAGAGATCCTGTCCAGGTTTTATTGTGCCGCATAGCGTCTGTTAAGCAACTAGACGAATTCATCCGCATAATAGAAATCCAGTTTTCCACCTGACAGTATTTCATTACCCACGTCACGAAAAACAGTTGTTAGCGACCACGCGTTGTTGGCTGACTGGAGGCGCTTTTGGCCCTTGATGTTTTCTATGGTCATTTAGGTTTTCAATGAAATATTTTTCATCCCATCTTTCTTCCTCCTTACTAGGAGTCTCATTTATTGTTATGAGGCGTTAGTACAAACTCTGATGCATCCCATTGCCACCCGTGACAGATCCGTCTATCTTGACTGTACTTTCCTATCACGGTTCTTTCCATCAATCGTGGCTTACTCTAGAATGTGTGTGGATTGTTTCTTCGTCTTAGGTTTTGATGGCTCTTCCAATGCTCCTCAGTCTTATCAGGGTGATTCTGCAAGCTTGGATATGTTCAACGGTAAGCAAGGTACACTTTTGCTGTCTGCCTTTTTCCACTCCTCTGACAGAGCTAACTTCTCCTCATGTCGCAAGCGACATGTCATGCTTTTAACTGTTTTATGCTATTTTGGTATTGCTATGCTGCGTGAACCGGAGCATGCCGTTTGCTTTAGCTGCTTCCGAATTCATGCTTGATTTTCCTGCGTCGTTACTCTCTTGTGGTTATTAATTACGTGCGCTGGTTCTGTGCTTTATCCCACTTCCATAACACTACACCCTATCGATAACGCTTGCAGTTGCGAACCTGAGTGCGACTGATAGATGTTGGAGTTAAGTTACTATTAGGACGATTTTTCTTATACAGATGATTATGTTTTCTTATCAGGAGTCACTCGAGAAGTGAACAATTTGGTAAAGGAAAACCAAGATCTTGTTCAAACAAAGTGAGTTACCTAAAATTTGTCCCGTATTCTGTTTGTCTCTCAAACTTATCCTTCTTTCTCAGTTGAATTTACAACTGAATCCAACTAACTGATCAAAAAGTTTGGTTCATTCTGGTTTTATGCTCTCGCCTTGTTCACTGATGCTGACATGCTAAACAAATCACTCCCATCCATCTTAATAGATGTGTATATTGTGTCCCCTCTGATTCCATCTTACTGCCGAGTACTGATTCTCGACTGACGATCGTCCGTACCCTTACCCATTTGTTATGGTCCATATTTCAAACAGATACTGAGCTGTGTCTACCTAAGTAGCTGCAGATCTACTCTTGTTACAGGTCATCGTGCGAACGAACCACGGTCAGCATTCACTAATCTGGAACAGCACAACTGCGTTGTCTTTATTGTTAAAGGACGTGCTCTTCATCGCCACTGCATGTGTAGCATGGATGTGTGGATATGAATTCCAACCAGTTCTTGTGTCCTACAAGGGTCAACTTTCGATCTTCAGCAATCGGTACTTGCAGAGGCTCGCATACCTGCACTGGCAGCACACTGTTCAGTGACTGTAAGCTTGCTGTTCATTAAGCCTGACTCACTACACCAGTTAGGACGGTATGCTCACCTTTCACTCATGTCGTCTGTGCTAGTGTACTACAGAGAACTGCGTTACGTAGCTAACAAATCAACACTAAAACATCAAATCACAGATTAATCGTCTGGTCATCATCTTCTCTATGCACCTCCGTGGTGGGTGCCACGGATCACGAGTGCAAGTGAATCTGACTACTCTTAGCTATTGTACGAGCCCAAACTCAGCGGCGAACCTATGAGTGCTCTTGCGTTGTACTCTGTTACAGTATTTCAAAAATACTCAGTTCTGATCATATAGCAGTTGCGCCATGGACACCAGAGAGCGATGGGTCCAGTTTCCCAGACTCATCCTCAGGACGGCGCCAAATGATAAGTGAAAAATGTAACAGAGCGCAGGGATAGTATGGAGACAAGAGCTTTAGAAAGTGAGCAAAATTCATCATTGTGGAGTAATAGCAGCTAGATGCAAAAAACCGAATGCACGAGCGCCACTGACTGCGCGATTGCGCCATGTCTGATGGAGTCTGATCTTCTAAAGCGCTATATCATCATCAACAGCAGTACATCAGCCATTTGAACTGATGCTTCGCTGCCATACAACCATGAGGACCTATGAAATAAAGAATAAGAAGAGGGAGAGAAGGGGGACTTACCTGAAAACCTTAATGCCCTAAGCAAACATTCAGGGTCAAGGCGCCTACACCTTGTGTTAACAACATTCCGTCACAAACAGCTGGCTATCGTGCAAAGATAAGGCGGCATCGGCGAGACAGCTTCCTTGCGGCTTTCACTGCCACGCGTCATAATCAGCCATTACCCCGCAGACAACTCAGCACCAAACACACTTTAAACAGACAATCCAATTAGGAGACGGCAGCAGACGCGCCACTGGTGTCGGTTGCGAGCCATGTCCTGTAAAGTCTCGAGCCAAGCACAAGGTGAGTCACGTGGGCTCCAACCCGGAAGGCGAGACGGACCAACGGCACTCAGTTTGGTCGTCAGTGACTTCATTTCCCGCTGCCAAGTCAACTTCTGTCCACCTCGAGCCTTGCGCCATCCGACACCTGGTAGACTGAACAAGGCCCTCCTAGGTAAGCGGTGACCAGGCATGCGTAGCACGTGCCCGAGCCAACGCAACTTATTCAGTGCTATCTGTTGTTCTAGGAGCTAGCATGATCATCACCACCTAGTACTCGCCTACGCACATCATCGTTGCGGACACGCTGGTGCCATCCGACACCAGCAATGCTTCGCAAACAACGATGATCAAAGGCTTGAAGGCGCCTCAGATCTTCAGACCGAAGGGGCCAAGTCTCACTACCATAAAGCAGAACGGCCCTCACTGTGGCCTTGTATACACGGCCTTTCAGACGGAGGGAAACTCCCTTCTGTCGCCAAAGATGCCGCAGGTTCAAGAAGGCAGCTCTGGCCTTTGCAATGCGTGAGCTGACGTCAGTTTCTATGCGCCCATCATTGCTGATGCAGCTGCCAAGCTAATTGAATTGATCAACCATCTCGAGTTCCTCGTTAGCAAGCGTCAAGGGGTCATTGAGTGGCTGGTGGTCCTGCAGCAACATTTTGCACTTTGGAGGTGCGAAGTGCATACCAAATAATGGGACCACTCTGGATAGGCTATTCAGGGTTGATTGTGCCGCCTCAACATTGTCGAAAAGCAAGACGATATCGTCCGCATAATCTAGATCAACTAACCGTTCACCAGGCAGCACTTCCACGCCTACATCGTGAGATTCCGCAAGGGAACACTCCATGATAGAATCCACGACGAAATTGAACAAAAACGGGGAAATCGGGCAACCCTGTCGAACGCCACTTGTAGTCGAAAAGCTATCCGATAGGACACCATAGACCCTGACGCGGCCTGTAGTGTTCGAGTATAGAGCACGAAGGATGTTCACATATTTCGTGGGAACACCTTTCCGCGCAAGTATTTCCAACAGAATCGATCGATCGACCGAATCGAACGCACTCTTGAAATCGAGGAACACAGCTATTGTCGGTCTGCGGTATGCGTGGCGCTGCTCTAGCACCTGCCGCAAAGTAAATATATGGTCTATACAGCCACGTCCTGGGCGAAAACCGGCCTGCTCTTCTCTAATCCGAGATTCCCGTTCTGCAGTGAGACGACGAACGATAATCGAGGCCAGTAATTTTGTCACAACTGGCGTTAGGCTAATGCCCCTGTGGTTCGCACAGTCTGTGCGACTGCCCTTTTTGTATATTGCCACTATAATCGATTCGCTCCAATTAGCCGGCACACTCTCTTCGTTCCAGATACGTTCGAATAGGGAGGTCAGTGCTTTGCAGAGGACCTCACCTCCATCCTTAAATAGTGCAGGTGATAGGGAATCCGGGCCAGCGGCACGAAAACGATTGAGGGCTGTGATCGCGTTTCGGACCTCGGCCTCCGACGGGGGCTCTAAACTAACCGTCCATGGCTCGTCCTGCATCACCAGAGTAGGAAGAGGTCCGGGAGCAGGGGGCCAGCTGAACTGATGTTCAAAGTGCTCAGCCCAACGAGCCATACGGCGCTCCTTATTGTGTATCAGCGCACCCGCGCTGTCCCTGATTGTCTCACTGACGCCTGGTTTCCTGGGACCAGTGGTGCGGATTAGCTGGAAGAGCTTCCGGTAATTGCCTACTGCTCCTGGTTCCTCCATTTCCTGAGACCGACTGGTCCACCAGGCTTCCTTGTCAGCACGTAGGCTCCGCTTTAGTTCACGCCTAATAGCCCGTCTGGTCACATTGTGTTCAGAACCAGCCGGGAGGTGCCTTCTAGCTTCCAAAAGGTTCACGGACCTCTCGGATATCCAGTGACTGGTGCGATGACGACTGATAGTGCCACAAGCAGATGCTCCTGCGTCGTGCATAGCGGCCGAGATCCTATTCCACTGAAGTTCAGTGTGATTAGGACAAGACAGCGAGAGTTCGCTATGCAGTGCTTCTTGATAGGCTTGCCTGACAGAGGGCTGGGACAATTTCTCCGTTGCCAATCGTGGGAGACGCTTTGTGCGCCTTCCGGTAAAGTTCATGGAGAAACGACAGCGTACCAAGGCATGATCAGAGTCGACACAGGTACTCCAGTATGAGCGGCAATCCAGAATTGAACCGAACCCAAGAATGGCAAGTACCTGCCAGTCGCATGGTTGTAGTGGTTCTCCAAAGGAAGACTACATGACTGAGTCGATGCTCAAAGGATTGTGCGTGTTATGAGAGAGAAATCCCATGAGCCGTTGCGATCTTGCTACTGTAGTGACAAACATGGAAATGGTGACCATCTGTGCCTACGGTGAACGAGAGGAGGGAAGAAGGCATGGACGCTCCATGAGTTGGGAAATCTAGTACGCCTGTTCTTCAGAGTTGGATGACTTTGCTTGGAAGTTTTGATGCTGAAGCACGATTGTTACATCTAACGACACACCTGGATAGCATTGTCAGCGAAGGGCCAGTATACGTAACCAATGGTTAGAGCTGTTAGCCGTGCTATTCCGGGATGATGTCGGTGCAAATATCTCACTGAGCTTGCCTTTAGGAACACTTTCCTTGACCATTGGACAATTTTCGAGCAGCGTTAGCAAGTCGCATCGATGAAAGAATTCGTGAAGGTGTGTGCCGGTGGTTTGGCTTTTCTGTTCTGTGTTCAGGAACGAATGACGTCTTTCAAAAGAGGGACGCGGTTGGTATGCTTCTGGGTGTCCACGGAAGTAATCAGAGGGGCCCTGATTGAACTACACAGTTGTTTCATGCCCGGATACAGCGCAGTTGACGCGATCCTCTAATCGTATGCCATGGCTGCTTTGTTGTGGTACATCGGAAAAACGTATCGGCATAGTCGAACTCTGCCGTAAGCACGCAGGCTATATTAAAGTTTTTCCCGAATAGCATTGTCACCCGTCGCTGAAGACGATTTGCCGTACACACGCATATGCTTTTCTTTGCACTTAAAATAGCTAGTAACGGCTTGTGGTCCGTTTCAAGTACGTACATTCGACCATGTAACATACGATGGATTTTTTGCAGCGAAAGTTAGGGCTAGTGCCTCTCTCGACCTGTGAATAGTTCCTTTCAGACTTTGTTAGAGTAGGTGACGCGTAGCCAACCGGCCGCGAAATTTTGTATGGTGGTGTCGACGGAGAAACACTCGCATGTCATAACTAGAGGCATCTGCGAAGAAAATGGTAGTTATTTTTCAGTTATGTGCTAGCATGAAGTCAGATATAAGAGCTTTCTTACGGATTCTAAACGCCTCTTCACGTATGGGTGGCCAAGGCTAGAGGCGATATTTACCTAGGACTCCTCCATTGACGTCTGAAGCCGGTGTATATCAGAAATAAATGTACTACAATTACTAACCGTGCTCAGGAACGCTTACAAGGTGGGTATATCGTGTGATACAGCTAGTTCACGATCGACTATAGAGCTAAAGTATTTCAGCTGAGGTATAAACCGTTGACACATTCGCTCTCACTTTCGAATCGTACTCACGTAGGCGTTCGAATACATGGGAAAGATAGTGGGTGTGTCGGTTGCTGTCTGATGATGTGAAGATGAAGTCAGCAAAGTAAGCACAATCCGATGGTATCTGTCATTGTCGTACTCACCAGTTGTTGAAATGGACCTGGTGCGGCGTTCATACTGAACGGAAGCCGTTTATACTGTTACAAGTTATGGTGTTAATAATAAACAGTCGCCGTTTGTCATAATGACTGCCACTTAATTTCAGAGATCCGAGAGAATACTTTTCGAAAAATTTGACTACAGTTGGGTCTGATGAAAATGTTATACGTTGGAGGCAATGGGTATTGATGTAGATTCAATACTGCTTTCAGATCGGTTGAAAAATCTCCACACAAACCAATGGCTCCGGTCACTTTTTTACTATCAGAATGTTTGCTGCCTAGTCAGTGTTTCATTTTGGATGTCACTCCAGGTTAGTCCAATCGATCAAATTCACCGTCGGAGAACTGGAGCATATCACACGATACTATCTTTGGGTTGGAAAATAACTTTTACTTTGTCCCTTAAGCAAAAACATGTAGTTACTTTGCTGAAACAACCGATTATGGAGTGTAACACCTCTGGGAATTGCTACTATATCTCGTTCAATTGTACAGATTTCTACGCTTTATAGCGTTGGTTACATGTCCTGGGTTGCACACCTTCGAGGGGAACGCTCCACAGGTTTAACGCGGTGATCCAAATGATGTCAAGTATATTTGATCCATGGTTGTTCGAAACCTGGCAAATGCCATTTCGCTCATTGTTTTTGGTATGCGTATTCACAGGGAAATCTTCCTTGAAGCTGTAAGATGTTCGATGCACTTAGTGTGGTATTTTCCGCATTTTCATAGTGTCGGTTTACCGATCATCGACCACGTCGGTCTGGGGATGCTGATGTCGGATGTGTTGTCCAGCTGCAGGCGCACCGAGTGACCGTTTCTAATGACGTCGATGAACCTATGAAGTGAAAGTACTCCTCCTTATGCAGTCGCATAGACGACTTTCGACCCCTATTAAACTCCGGTTTGTTGAGACGGTTTCGACTGTCGCCGCGATAAAGCAATCGTATGATCTATCGTCAATGTGTTTCTTTTTTAACCTTTCTTCTGGTAGTCAGTGCACTGGTGATTGATGAACTGGCGCTTTCTGGCACTATGTCATTCAGCAAAATTCCAACAGACACTTGGAGCTTCTGTTGTGCAGTGTTATATCGTTCTTTCACTGTTCTGCGAAATTGCCTCAGTCATCGCAATCACTAATTCTAGTTGTCTTGGCCACAACAATCATGAAACACCAACTTGGATTGCGATATGCAATCTCTATTCAGACCTCGGTTCACTTTGAAGTAGACGTCGGTCATTACGATCACAAGGACCGTATCCGTGTATTGGATGTGGTTTGGTGTTGCTCCTCCCAATTGTGTCAGTGTTGGAAGGAGCAACACCGAACCACCTCCAATCATGAATCACTTTTTAGTTTGGTTAGACACTGACACTCCACTAACCTCCTGGATATTGAACATTGAAGATAAATCATGTTTAGATTAACATTTGCTCTAATTTCTCTGCCAGCTGTAGAAGTTAATCCGGACACAAAGAGGCGTAACTTGAACTGGTCTTCTGTCAGTTGTTTAAGCTTGAAACGTTCACCCAAATGATCCACTCTGTCTTGCGAAGTAACATAATCTGCGGATTAATATTTAGTTAAGCCCAATCATTGATTATGAATGCTGGTTGATTGACACATTGCTTGTTTCCTTCGCCGTTTTACCCTAATAACAGTAATGCATATTTCAGCTAATCAGAGCTTTCTCTTCAACTTAAATCTGTTCCACCAAGTGACGTAGCGCCTGTAACATTACGGGTCTTCCACTCTTCACTTCTCGCTGCTGTACCCAATCGGAAACGACACATTTGCTTTTCCACAGCCGATCAAGTACTCTGTGCGTTTCTTGCGGACCTTTGATATCCGATCCGAAAGACCAATCTTCCCGTTTTCGTTGTTGTAGACCTTGCAACGTGTTCGAAGTGCCTGCACCACATCTGCGTGATATCCGCAGCTTGTGTGTTCTCAGCGCCCGAAACTGCCTTCATCGTCCTCATAGACTACAAGGTGGGTCTACCCACCACCTACAAGAAGTTATAGAATTCCTTATAATGGCGCTGTTCGGCGCAACGTCCTCTCCGCGTGGCTCACCAGCAAAATCCGTTTTTATTCCGCAGTCCTTATGACTACTTTGACCGCCTGAGCTTCCGTGGGAAACTTTCTCATCTAGTCACCTCTGCGTTTGGAGTCCGTCTAATCGGAATATCTTAAACTTTGTCCTCTAACTGATCCCGTCCAGTCCCATCCTATCAGCTTACTTCTAGCGGTGCAATAATGGGCCAACAACATGGATGTGGAGGAGCAGTGTATTTTTCTCATGATCTTGCCCAACCTTTAAAACCGCATTTGTATTGAACATCTCAGACTCCTGGAATCCTCAGAACGTAGTTCGTGCCTTCAGTCGACAGGGCATAACTACTGGACGGACTGGCTTGCCACTAACTTTCGTCATCATTGATGCACTCTCACAAGTTATCAAGTGGTTTACTTGTTTTGATATTTATATGACCTCTGGTGGTTATATCGATAAATACTTCACTGCGTGCATATCTTAAGTCCGTATAGCGTTCCAAAGCCTTTTATGTACATTGCGTGCTACTGATTTTTCGATCGACAACTGGGTGTACACCTCGGATCCAAGAAACAGGTTGTCTTTGCATAATGGTGCGTGTTCTGCATCGCTCGTGTTTGTTGAGACAACCGAGTGTTCAGCAACAAAATGTATCAATATTATCTGGCACCAGACCCTCTAAATCACTTACTCTCTTTGAACCCTTTGATTTAAACATTTCACCTTCTGCTACCGTCCGTAAGCGATTATTTTGGCTTGTGATGCTTGTTACTGCTGGATGTAGTCGCATAAAGCCTCATAGTATTAGCATTGTTAGGTTGACCGTGCCGATGCTTTCCATCTTCCTGGATGGAGTTTACGGGATGGACTACCCCGATGTGGCTTTTTTGTTGTGTCGACTACCAGTTACTTTTAGCACCAAGCGATTGCACATTTTCCCTTCTTTCTTCTTACATTTGTGTTCTTTTCTCTTTCTTCGTCTTCCTCGATTGTTTATGCCAGTGATCGTCATTATTCTTATTGTGGTAACCTTATTCATGACAACCAGACCCGCCGCACTGCGGTGCCCAATTAAATTTACTGTCTGCTAATTCTTTCCGTCTTTTAATTCCCTCATTACCTGTTTTTCATTGCTTTGTGTTGCAGAAACGCATTGAATGTTGTCACCAATGACCTGATTGGAAGACTAGACGAGTTAACATGGTGAGCTCCGTTAGTGATTCCCACATCATTCTTTAATAGCTCCGACGACTGAAATTGTTCACTCTAATCCATGGCAAATTTCTGCGACTTCTAGGTTTCCTTTCGCCGAGACCTGTTTTCTTTTGACCACATGCGCCTATGTAGGATTGTAGGGACCACATGATGTAGTGCTTCGCCGATGTTTTGGTATGTGCATTGTGCGTTAGTTCCCATCACCCTCTCTCCACTTGTAGCTAGTGTCACGTGGACTGCGCTTCCTGTCAACTTTCTATCATTACTTGCAACATCATGGTTTATTACCCTACTATAGAGCTCAGTTTGCAAATACGGGCGCAATCCGTTAGCTTCAATGCAACAACTCTGCTTCGCGTGCCAAAGCGCAGTGAATCCGATTGTTATAAACTAGGTTCCTATGATTATGATATACCACGTCGCCGGGTGAAGGCAGTAAAGCACAAAGTAGCATGAAGCTCAGACGGAAGTAAAGAAAAACGGCAATTGGACAATAGTCAGTTGGACACAAGGGCTCAAATGTAGAACATCGTCGTTCCCGTGACTGCGCTATATTGGATGAGGGCCCCAATCCGCTGATCTGACCAATCCAAGGCCGCATTCAGCAACGCGGCTCACACCAACCTTGTGGTTTCTTTCATTTAACTTTTTCACACCTTTCTACCTCATCGACCGGCTACGCACGGTTACCTCCAACCGGTTACAACAATGCGATGGTAAGCAATGCACCTCGTGCTGGCCGATCAATGAACACGACCCGGTCGACACAAACCATTCTAGTTCAACGCACACCGGTTTGGCACCAGAAGGCCTCTTTCTAAACACCGACCGTGACGGATCTTACCATCTCTTACCAGATGATCACGTTAGATCTATGCAGTACTCCTCAAACACCAGTACTTAAGGATGACCGATTTCCTTACTTTTTAGCACGTGATGGTTACGTTTTTAACCCATACAGTTGGCACCTGCTTTACTGCAGCATTGTCATGTGTTCACATCGTCCGTCTCTGTAAGAGTTTTTGGGGCGAACAAACGACACGTGCGTGGATGTGTAAGCTCTACTTTTTTATTAGAGCATCTTTTAACGACAAACAACGCATATGTGAAGCAACTCGTAGCTTCTCGATTCTGTCGCAGCTTTAAATTGCTCGCTTAACGACCAGCATTTTCGCACTACAACGTAGCCTTGTCCATGCTACATACCTATTGGTCCTAAAGCTAGTGCACGTGTTTCATAGTGCGGTGAGCAGCTTCTGCTGTGGTCTTCTCGTTCAATGTGGTCGGTCTTACTTATGGGCCTGCCAAGATGCATTGGCGCATCAGCTTGTATGTAATATACAAGACGCACATTGCTTCATTACGGTAACTGCTAGCGATTGGATCCAGGACATAGTCCCTGCTCGCTGAGGCTATCAGAGCACCCATCCTTGGTCATCATCTGTCTTACGATTAGCGCGGAGATCTACCGTTTGATGTCTGATCACATGCCCTCTGATTCCGCAGAGGGCTTAAATCGCCTAAAATGGATGGATCACGTTTTCGCATGCATGCCGATCATGTAACCCGTCAAGTGAGGAATCAGAATAGCCAGTCGATAGCATGGCAAGAAGTATGTGGAATTGTCCTTTGCCCTATATGGGGGTCTTGGGCTTTGCCACACCAGTTGTCACAACTCATATCCGTCAACCCGTTCGCGAAACCATCGGCTCTGCTTTATTCAATCTTGTTCTTACCGGTTAACCTCTGCGTCTCAATCATGTACCCCCCTTCTTCACTTGCTTTTGTATCTATTGTGGTTTTTACTTTTCCCTTCTATTTTGTTCACGTCTATCATCCTCTTTATCACCATATCAATTTGTGTCGTGACAACCTTGTTAACCGTTTTCCACACTGGTAGTAGTTGTTTAATGGAATGACCAGCCTAACCTTGTGATCAGTGATGGTCTTCCTCCAATGGGAATGCACCTGAACTCAATGACGTTTGGCCGCTTTACCTTTTACCGATGGAAAGAACGCTGTCCCACACCGCTGCGTATGATTCGATGCGGCGAAATAGGTCCATCATTCCCAAACCTCGAATTTCGAACGAAGTCACAGTTGCTAGTTGGTTATACGGAAGAGTCCGGCATCTGCAAAATCCATAACAATCTCCGTATTCGCGTTATGGGTCGAATTTGCCTCTAGGGACTTACATACACCTATCACTTGTTGGGTTTGTGCACTGTGTGGTTGTATGTTGTTGGTTGGCGGTCGGTTTCCAGTGGCGTACATTAAGTCGACAATGAGGACAACGATAATTCCGTTACACTTCTAACCGTTAAGGTGCACAGGTCATGCATCCGATGGCGTTTCGAGCACTGCTCTAAAATGGAATTCCGGACTGGAAGACTTCCTACTGAAGGTATCAAATTGCTGCGAACCGGAATTCTGGTGTTTTGGGAGGGGGTACAACTCAGGTTAGTATAACCTGTTTTTTTAGGCACCATCAGCCATAATTCAGGATTTACATTGATACCTAGTCTACTTCTGCACTACAGGCGAAGTTTAAGCGTGCCTGTACACATAATCTACGCAGCACACCTATTTATCATCACTGGGACTCTGATAACTGACGCAGACCGCATAGCTAACTATATGTTGAACACATGATCCAAGGCTGGAGAGAAGCCGCAACTGAGCTGACTCCGCTGTAGCCGCGCCGAAAGACTAAATATTTAGGAGCTATTGTGGATTATCGACATCCGTGTGCGGACTTGTCTGTCACAGTGGCCTCCACGGGGACAGCCACAGGACGCCTGCGCCTACAGAGGGACCATGGAGGGCTTGCGCTGCACCACTCACAATTCTATCCACCCCATATTCGTCGTAAACCCGAGGGAATGAGATCGGGAGGCATGTAGATGTGAGCCATGTTTCATCAACGTAACCGGCCCATGCTCCTTCATAAGCAGAGCAGAAGCACTCATGCATAGTTTGGAAACCATGCCTACCAGAAACACACAAGACGGTGGCTGAACCGTAGTCCGCTCCACACAGGATGGGATCATTCTGTGAACCTAGCATCGTCGTCGGCCGGTGGCCGAGTGGTCTGCACGTTTGCCTTGCAACCATAAGGTCACCGGTTCGACTCCGCGTAGGGGTGGGCGTCCTCGCGGTATACTCAGCCCGCGCGCGACTGGTGGTGGTCGCGCGGCAGCGAAGCGCCGCTATGGCGTACAGCTGACACATTATTGTTTCTTTTTACCTAGCATCGTCACGAGGACCGTGCATCTCGTCCCCTCCAGCAACGACCAACTGTCTCCTGGAGCCAGTATAGACGAGGTGGTGGGTAATAGACTGGTAAGCATCTTGTCAACACTCACATGAGTCGCAGTCACACCGTGGAGCTCAGTTGACATCTAACCCCTGAAATGCAAGAAACTCAACACGCAGGCAAACGTGCAGAGCTATTGTGTACTTACCCTGCTATTCGCATGTGGCTTATTGATGTCTTCCCTCTTTGATGCGTTTCAAGTCTCTCTGGAGTGTTGCTCGGGTCCAGAATTATAGGATAATCTCAATTTCACCTCGGTTTATCCAGGTGCTAAGCTTTTCAATATCGCTTCGCCATGATGTCGCCTTACTTGGTGACGATCCTCAGGGTATGCAACTCATTCTGGATCGTTTGGCGGTTGAAGCATCTAAGCATGACATGAACCTCGCCCCATCGAAGTGTAAAGTACTGCTCAAGGATTGGCTTTCACCTGCTCCCGTGCTCACTCTCGAAAGTGCGCAACTTGAACAGGTAGATAGTTTCGTCTACCTCGGAAGCTGTGTTTCTGCTGACGGCACTATCAACAAAGAAGTTTCTCTTGGAATCGCTAAAGCTCGACCAGCATTTGTCAATCTGAGGGACTTGTGGCGTCGTCGTGACGTCTCATTCTCACTAAAGGGCCGCATTTACAGCGCATCAGTTCGCTCAGTATTGTTGTATGGGTGCGAGTCCTGGCCGATTCGCGTGAAAGACATGCATCGTGTTTCTGCCTTTGATGCTGGTTGCTTAAGGAGGATCGCTCGTGTTTGGTGGCAACATCGAGTTAGTATTGATAACGTTCGACGTCGCATCTTGGGGAATGCAAGTATTTCCTTCAACAAACTGGTTATGTTGCGCCAGCTAAGATGGCTCGGTCATGTCGTACGCATGGCACCTGAGCGTCTACCACATCGCGCTCTATTCGCTCGTCAAGGACCTGGCTGGAGGCGACCGCGTGGTGGTCAACCTTCCACTTGGCGGCAGCACATGAAATCGCTGACGTCGTGTCTAGCCGCTGTTGGATCCATACGTCTTCCAGGATGGGGACCCAAAGATGAGGAGTGCCAATGGCTTAGGACTCTTGAAGACATGGCCCGCAACCGGAATCATTAGAAGAATTGTGCACAGGTCCTATCTGCCGGTGCACTGTCTTCACACACTAACAGTCAGTCCACTTCAGCCACACAAATCAATGTCTATCTCGTGATTGGATGTACTACACCTTTTCTCAGTTAACTGCACCCATTACGCTTTCAAACTCAGTCTTAAGGAAATAGTTTTCATCCATACATCTTTCAGAGTCGTCCTTAAGGCACTCAAATATCATCCACCTGGCGCGAACGCACCAAAGCGCGCTCCTCGTTGAGTGACCAATCCCAAATCAACCAATAGCATATCAGACGAGTTTACGACATGAGTTACCAGAGAAGGCTTGGATGTGGCGCAGATCGCGTGCGATTTGATGGGTGCCTAGTCGCGCTCGACTCTCATGGCATGGTTGGCTACACTCATGCTAGGGATTATGCTCACAAAACTCACGTGGTGCCACTGGGCTTAGCAGTCATGAGTGATCATGGTGTTTGGCATGTAACCTTTCAGGCATTTCCATTGCTACGTGAAATATGATTGCTTGGTATGTCCGCTCATTTCACCGCTGAGCCGTCTGTATACTGCGAGGCACCCACGTGAATGA